GTGTTCAGTGTTGGTTCGTCTTTGTTTGTGAATGAGTTCACCCGGTGAGAGTTCTGTTTTGTCGAAGTTATTTTTATTTGTATCCTTGAAATAAGGCTTTTTTCAGCGTTATCTGCATTTGGGTCCTGCTTGCTTCACTCACCGTAACAGCGACAAGGTTACGCTGAGTGTCAAACAGCTCTATGAAATGGAATGGAACCACGGCAGACTTTCCAAAACTGGAATTAGACGGGTCCAGCCCCCCCCCCCCTCCCACAATTAGAAGTTGCCAGTATTAAATGGTGTACACCCTGGAGGTTTAGGGGATACGAAACAGTGGTGTAATCAAATGTAAAACATATAATTAATAAATGGGTGAATTAATATACCCACATGACAGCTAAGGTCAGAAGAGCTTTACTTAACAGCTGGTCTTATGTATGTGACCCCTCCTGTTGTTCATTGATAAGCCTGAAACATGCACTTGTCAAGGTTCAGAGGCACATTTTGCAAATATGGCAGTAGCCATCGATCATCTTAAGATAAGATATACTTTATTGATCACAAGTTGGGAAATGTTTTTGTTACAGCAGCATACTACTTTGTTCTATTCCACTACAATTCAGAGGTTAACCTGGTATTTTTACTCCACGACATTTATTTTAGTTACTTTGCAGATTCTGATTAATGATGTGAAATATAAACAACCCTTAAATCAGACTTTAGTTACACCTGAGTCAAATTCAGGGAAGGTGATTGTCAAGTTTCAAAATAAACTATGCAATATATTGGACGTTAAGTACTTTGTCAGACTTCATATTTATCTGTGGATAACCCCAACGTTTAATTCTTATTCAAAAGAAGACCTTAACTTAAAGTATTCTTTAATGTTTAAATAAAGCCTTATTAGTTTGTCTGTTTTGCACATCCTCCTGTTAATATCTTTGGACGTCCTGCACTAAACTGTTTTATTGTAGAGATCACTACAGTATCTTCTTGATATTTTCTATTCTATATATCTATCATGCCTTCTACTTTCCCCACATTTTGTATGTAGGCTACTCTTAATATTTAAATGTTTTCATCAAATAAAACGTATTCAACAACAACATTCAATAACGTGCTTTAACCACTAGGCGGCGTGGGTTAAAAAACCAGTGGTGTAGTTAATAAAACATATCACACACATGACTATTAACTTTATTGTGAAATGAAAACAGAACGGTAAAGGAAAATACAGTTTCAGTCTCTCGATTTGAAGCTTATGCATTGTACCATGAACCTGTATAGACCTGTAACAGTCAACTGCATGAGGAGTTGGAAAGGTAGTAAATAATGACAGCTAAGGTCAGAAGAGCTTTATACTGGCTCCCTATAGAAAACAGGATAGAATTTCAAATTCTTCTTCTCGCCTACAAAGCACTTAATGGGCAGGCGCCATCTTACCTTAAATAACTCATTGGGCAGGGGTGGCCAACCCGAGGCTCTCGAGCCGCATGCGGCTCTTTGCCTAGTTTCATGCGGCTCTTCAGTTCATATCGAATTTTATATGTGTAAGTTTGGGGGAGAGACACTGACTCCTGACTAGTGTTGCACGGTGTACCGATACTTGAAAGGTACCGCGATACCCTGCCGTTAAAAACGTTACGATTCCTCCGTTTCATTAGTATCGGTACTTTAAGAATGACGGGGAAAAGTACTTTAATAAGAGCCGTGTGTGTTCAGCGCTCTGCTTCCACTCCCTGCACTGCAGCCGTGCCTGCAGTCCCTCCCCTCTCAAGCACGCTCAAGTGCCTCCCCTCTCAAGCACGCTCTAAGTGCCTCCCCTCTCTCGTGCATGCGCTAGCTGCCAGAGCATGTGAGAAAACGAGAAGCATGGCTGCAAGTGGGAGTGCAGCGACCGCTGCGTCTCGGCTTGTTGACAAAAAAGACGCCAGAAGCGAAATTTGGAAGTATTTTAGCTATATCTCTGACAGTGAGGGCAAGCCTACGGACACCACGAGGCCTGTCTGTAAGACATGTATTAATTGTATTTAATACGAATTCTTGTCAGTTATTTTATTTATTGTTCTCATTGTTTAAAAGTGTGTGTTATGGTTATGGTTCTGGTGTGAAATAAAGCAGAATAATTACATTTAAGACTGTTTCCCTTTTTTAAAGAAAAGTATCGAAAAAGAATCGGAATCGCAATTCTTGACTTGGTATCGAAACCAAAATGTTGGTATCGTGACAGCACTAGCTACTCCTGACAGTTAAACCTGATATTTAGTAGGTCTGTTAAGTATTGAATGCTGATAATTCTGACGTAATTTGGCCGGTCAAAGTTGTTTGGGCTCGGATAAAATCGCTCCGTTACTTTCGTCCCGTGTTATGTATGTTGTGTATGTGTGGTGTCAGTATGAGAGGATGACAGCGCGTATAATTTTGATGTGGCCCAAGAGCCAATCACAATAATACCTGCGATGCAGGGAACCAATCACCTTTGAGGGGGGGAAAACCTATCGTTGATTAAACATTATCCAGTGTTTCCCCTACCATTGTCTTGGAGGGGCGCTGCACCTCGCCAACGGAGTCCCGCGCCCCCCCCCTGAAATTCAAGGTGTTTAAAAAATATATATAATTTTTTTTTTAAATATATATATAGCACCAAATTGCAAATAATCTATAACTACTGTCACTTTTAACATTGAACATGTGCTCTTTTATTAAATAAACTAAACGCTTTCATTTGAAGTTGTGAGTTTAGTGTTTTTGACCCTAAGAAACACTGATGCATTAATCAATAACAATAATCCACAGCTCCTCTCTCTGCTCCAGAGGATTTAAAAAAAATATATCCCAATGCCACAAAAATGCATCAGTGACGTGGTTGAAATCTTGTCTCCAGAAAACAAAAAACTGAAACAAGCGGTATCAGTGACTGTGTGTTTGATGTGGCTCTTTGCAGTAACATAGAAAAAATGTGGCTCTTAACCTCTGACTGGTTGGCCACCCCTGTACTAGGGCATTGCGTTCCAAGAATGCAGGGTTGTTGGTTGTTCCTAGAGTCTCTAAAAGTACAATGGGAGCCAGAGCCTTTTCTTATCAAGCTCCACATTTGTGGAATCAGCTTCCAGTTTGTGTTCGGGCGGCAGACACCCTATCCGTTTTTAAGAGTGCGCTTAAGACCTTCCTTTTTGATAAAGCTTATAGTTAGGGCTGATTAGATTCAGCCCTAGTTTTGCTGATATAGGCTTAGTTTGTCGGGGGACATCTTACTTCTTCCTTCTCTCTGTCTATACCTGTGTACTCTCATGTTCCGATTAACCCAGCTTCCCCAAATGTCTTTCTTTTTGGTGTCTATATACGCCAGGATCCGGAGTCATGGATGATCCTGCGCTCCTCTGTCCTGCATCGCGAGCCCTGGATCTTGAGTCGTGGCTGTGGTCCTGGATCATAGGTCCTGGATGGATATCCTCGTGGATTCATCTTCCTATTATACACACATGCATTTCCAAACATTTGGACTACCTATGTTGCAAATGTATTATCTTTTCAATTTACACACGGCATCTATTGCACGTCTGTCCGTCCTGGGAGAGGGATCCCTCCTCTGTTGCTCTCCCTGAGGTTTCTCCCATGTTCCCTTTAAACTGTGGCTTTTCTCCGGAAGTTTTTCCATGTACTATGTGAGGGTCTAAGGACAGAGGGTCTAAGGACAGAGGGTCTAAGGACAGAGGGTGTCGTATTGTCATACTGATATGTTGTACAAACTGTGAAGTCCACTGAGACAAATGTAACATTTGTGATATTGGGCTATATAAATAAACATTGATTGATTGAATAATATCTTTAAAAACTACAAACAAATCCCTTTCTATCAGCTGTGCACCGTTATGGTGTAAATACAGCCTATCTACCAATTGGATTAAATATAAAAGTCAGCCGAATTAGTGTTGATACTGCAAGGAGACGTATTGTGTGAAAAGAAATGGAAGATGTTGTTGAATTGCTAATATATTTATGATCACATATTCAGTTTTGGCGGCATTTCTTACAGTTTGTCAAAAGGTCTTCTGATCAGGGCTCTATAAATAGAGAACTACGGCAGATATGTAATATTTAATGCAGCCGAACCGTGTATTGCAATGCCGTTATGTGATGACTTCCAAAGAGAAAAGCAAGAACACTCGGAATTAAGTATTATTTTATTTTTAAAAAATGTTTTTCCGATTTCATATCTTATAAACACCATATCCCAACATGCATTGCGGCTAAAACAATCGATGTTTTAGCCTATCAAAACGTTTTATTATGAAAACGTCGAGACCGGAAATACTGTTTTCAACCCGTAACTTTACATGGAGGCTGCCGCATACCTCAAATCATCTTCGTAATATCTATCAAACTATAGATCCTACATATCGACTGGACGTGGATTCTAAAAGTACAATATACACTTCTCGCCAGAAATCTAATCAAAAAGCGTTTTAATGGACAAACTATCCTACAATTTAGGATTTTACAGAGAGGGTTATTTGTGAATGAACGGGCCGGGAGCATGTTGTTTCTTACACGACCACTAGAGCACCTCTAGTGCACCACTTTAAAACGTGTCTCTGGGTCGTAATGAGGGCATGAACAATCGGCCTATATAGTCGTATGAGTTGGAGGACTAGTCTTGTCTTGTCCTGTGCTCCATGTCTGTTCGTCGTCGTTTCTCGTCTATGATACCTGTTAGTGTCTTTGCTCTTGTCCATGCTACCACTGTCACGCTCCATGTTTGCTCCTGAGGTTTTGTGTCCTGATCCTTCCTCGTACTCCCCCGGTTTTGGTATGTTAAGTTGCTCCTTGTTTTCTTTTGTCATTCAGCTTTGGGAAATAAAGCTCAATTTTTGTTACCTGACCTTTTAGTCCTTTCACTGCATTTTGGTCCTATTTCCCCCCAGCCCTGACACAGTGGGTAACATCACTGATCTGTTGTGATTCCCCAGTGAGAGAAACACCTCCCTGTGTTTAATACACCTCTGCCCCTTACTGACCTGAGGGTCTCCAGTCTGCAGTCTGGACTCTCCAGAAGATCTCTCAGCAGCTTCACTCCTGAATCTTGCAGATCGTTGTAACTCAGGTCCAGAACTCTCAGATGGATGTTGGACTTCAGAGCTGAGGCCAGAGCAGAACAGCTGATCGAAGACAAACTGCACCACCTCAGTCTGAATAAAGAAAACATGATGTAACTTTAGAAAACAATGTTCCTGTTAGAAATAACTCCAGGTTTAAAAATCTGATCAGAGTTAAACAGGGTTTTAATCCATTAGGGTCCAAAAATTATTTTTACTTATAGTGAAAACTACCCTTGGATGATGGGTTAGTAGACTGAAAGCTTTAGGAATCCAAAGTACAACATATAATAAGTACCCTGTATTAAGATTTATGCAAAACAAGTGACATTTGACCTTTTTAGAGAGTTAGCAAAAATAACTCCACCTCTGAGGTGATTTGGGTGGAAATGGGCGTTTTTGCCGTTTCTCTGGAACCCATTGGTCGATATTGATGATTGACATCTCTTTTTAACCGTTAGAGCCAATATAATCAAAGGGGGATTTCCACATACACACCAACGTTACCAAAACAAAGTGGGGGCTATGCGCATGCAGTTTTGCCCAGAGCGAAACCTATCTCACGCTCTGAAATCTGAAAACGGAAAAGTAGGTTTATCAAAAATCATTTCAAAGGGACACAGACACATTGGATTAACCTATGGATTAACTTCAGCACCGTTTTTATCATTTTAATGCCATTGAAGACAATTTTTTATCAGACAACGACTAAGGTCAGACATATTCCCCGTTTTGGATACCTAGCGCCACAAGTTCTTATCATGGAGTGATGAGATAGATACCTATCGATTCTGTGTATTCTCACGATGCTAATCGGTATGTTGGATGTGCAGTTATGATAAGTAATACGGGTGTTATACCGTGTTTTCTGTGCAAACGCCGTTAGCATTTTTTCGCTCGTGGCTAATTCAGAGGCTCAGCGCTAGTTTTGTGTTTTGTTTTGCAAAACACTTTATTCTGCACTGTGACTGCAGAGCTGCTAGAAGTCCTTCTCTGGGTGATAGACCCATGAATTTGAGGAGAACATCATTTTACTAGATGTAATGTTTGCGTGATTATTCATAATGGATAGAAAGCCATATGTTGGAGGAGAGTCAGCTCGTCTGTTTCTCTTGTGATCCTAATTTTCATATTTATAAAAGTTTGCTTTGCTCAAATTAACAATTGTGTGAAAATTAAAGAACAAAAAACAGACCAAGCCAACCAATGTTTTCCCCCATCTATTTGCTAAGTCAAGCTAACCAGCTGCTTTTGGTAGCATACTGACATACAGATGTGATCATATACCAGTCATTAGTCTACAAACTAAAAAACATCACATAAAACATTAAAATAAAAAACACACTACCTTTTCCTCTCTTCTGTAAAACCCCATATGTCTGTTAGAGAGTTGATTACTAAAGTGTGGCTTTGCATTTCCAGCTGGCCTTCTATAGTTGATGGAAGAATGGAAGAGCCTGCAGTCAGTGGGTAACATCACTGATCGTTTCCCCAGTGAGAGAAACACCTCCCTGAGTTTAATACAATACTGCTGAACAGCAGAGACCCCTTACCAGAGGTTGCGCTAGACTTTTTCGCTGGGTAGAGGACATGGACGTCCACTCTCGGGAGACGTCCGAGAGTGGTGCGGTTACCCAAAGTGACAGACCTAATTTTACCCAGGAAAAGAGTTTGAAAACGTTGGGAAAAGTGGTGTAAATAGAGGCAGAGTGAACCTCTGAACCCAGAGAGCAGGCTGTACAGAAAATGTAAAAAAGTATCCAAAAATATTGCCTCATAAGGCGGGTAGAGTCCCCTGTCAACTCCCCTTACATTCCTCCAGAGTCAACATTTGTCAGAGTAATTTTGTTGAGAACCAGGCAAAACGGGGGAAAATGAGAAAATGTATCCAAAAATAGTGCCTCATAACGCGGGTAGAGTCCCCTGTCAACTCCCCTTGCATTCGTCCAGTCAAAATTGTCACGATCTGTCTTTGTGGTGTTTTGTCTTGTCTAGATCTGTTTTTGGTTTTCTGTCTGCGTTGTGTTTTGTCTTATTTGGATCTGTCTGTGGTTCCCTGTCGTTAGTTTCCCTGGTGTGTCTGATTACCCGATTGTGTTCACCTGTGGCCCCTGTGTTTTCTCCTCCCTCCTCACCTGTGTCTTGTTTGTGTGATTAGTCTTGTGTGTATTTAAGTTCTGGTTTTTCTGTCTGTCTTTGTCGGTTCGTCTTTCGTTGTTGACTGTGTTCACCGGTAAGTGTTCTGTCTGTCCAAGTTCTATTTTCGTTATCCTTGAAATAAAGGTATATCAGTTTAATCTGCATTTGGGTCCTGCTTCCTTCGCTCTACCGTGACAGAACGAACCGACCAAGAATGGACCCAGCAGACAGTTTGTACGAGGTGAAGTACAATTGAACATGCTTGAGGAATGACTTTAGATATGCCTCCAGTACTGAAGAGAGGCAGTCAGTTATTTATGCGGCACGCCAGGAGGTAACCTCAAGGCCCTGGTTGAGGGAGTTGCTCCCCGAGTGGGTGGAGGACTTTTTGGGCAGCTTTGAGGTCAAACCTCTTTCCCGGCCTGCTAGCTCCAGGCATGCTAGCCCCCTGCCTCCCAATTCCCAACCTGACACCATACGTCTCGGTGTGTTCCGTCTGGAGTCAACCTCTGCTTTTTCCCCAGTTCCTGCTCCTGTCCAGGAGCCGTTCTCTGGAACTCTGGCTTATGGAGGTCCACGGAGTATTCAGGCGGCTGCTAAGAGGAGTCGTCGCAAGGCCAGGCTAGCAGCCCGAGCAGCCATGGATTCGGCTCCAGAACCGGACCTTACAGCCATGTTTCCGGCTTCAGAACCGGACCTTACAGCCATGATTCTGGCTTCAGAGCCGGCCCATTCAGCCATGTTTCCGGTGATTGCAACAATGGGTCCGATGCTTCAATGCATGGTACACTGACCAAGGGAGGACTTGGGTTACCACCGGGTTAAATGGTCCCACCTCCGCACCAACGCGGAGGTTGGCTGGTGATGAAAACATTGGGTCGTCATGCATCAATTCATGGTGCGCCGACCATGAGAGGGTTTGGGGTGCCCCAGAACCAGGCAGTACCCCAGCAGGAAACACGTGTTATCGTCAAAGGTGATAGAACCGGGGTAAAGCAAACAAAGTGTCCGACAATAGTGATTTGTGAGGCGGCCATAGAGTCTGTCATCTCTCGGTCCTATCCTCCAGGCAATGTGGTTACCAGAACTGGGTCAAATTGACCAAAATGTAAAAAAAATACGTTTCAATTCATCCATGGAAAAGGGCTGAAAATGAAAAAAAGTATCCGAAAATAGTGCATCATGAGCCCGCAAGAGTCCCCTGTCAACTCCCCTTGCATTCCTCCACAGTCAGAAAAAGTCTGAGTTCACTTCTTGGAGATCCATAGAAAGGGGTGAAAGTGAGAAAATGTATCCGAAAATAGTGTCTCATAATGCGGGTAGAGTCCCCTCAAACTCCCCTTGCATTCCTCCACAGTCAGAAAAAGTCTGAGTTCACTTTTTGGAGAACCATAAAAAAGGGCTAAAAGTGATCAAATATGTCCGAAAATAGTGCCTCATAATGCAAGCAGAGTCCTCTCAAACTCCCCTTACATACCTCCAGAGACCAGTTCAAAAACATAAAGTTTGGTAAGAACCAGGCTGGGGGGTCTCCAGGCAACACATGTATCCGATCCAGAGTGCACATGTAGCGGATGAATTCCTCCAGGACATCAGACAGCCGTTTTTTTTCTGAGTCCTCTCAAAAACCGGGTTTCCGATTTCGTGCAGACAGTAGTCTGAAAAAGATGAATGCATTTTTTTGACGGAGAAGGGGGAGCTTGGTTTCCCCTCTCCGTTGTAAGTTGCAACGGAGAAGTGGGAAAGTGTCCGGGGCTTCGGCCCGAAGCGCCGAAAGGTTGAGCTCTGTTGGCACACTGAGATTTTTTTTTAACTTCATTTTTGATTATTTTAAGATATAATTGACTGTTTTCTTCACTTTTTTCTGCTTTCCACGGGTGGGGGCGCATGGCAGGCCGCCTATGAGCTCCCAAATTTGGCCTGGAATCTCCAGGATTTGTGGGCTAAGCTCCATAAACTGACCAAGTCACCCAGAAATGTCACTTGTATAGCCCAAACATATATAATACAAACACATTTAAATATTAAAAGGTACAATTGTGCTTCGAATTACCCGGAATTTGATTTATATAACCCCATGATAGTGAATAAAAATCATTTTCATGGAAAAAAGTGTTAAAACGCCTGATTAAAGCATATGCAGGACCCCAGTGAGCTCCAGACTATGTGCATTGTGTTAGGGAACCATGTTAATGATGAAATAAATCATTTAAATGCAAAGATAATGATTATAAATCATTTTTAGGGGGACAACTGTGGAGAGGAGCCTGAAAGAGCGAGCACGCTGTCAACGGGGGGGTGGACGCTCGCTCGTGAACTGTTAGCGTCGTGTTATGCACACAGCACCTCGCGAGAGCGCGCACAGCGTAAAGCAAATACTTTTGTTGATCTGTTCGGCAAAGTTAGGTTTTGAAAACTACATAATTTCCTTTTGGGCGGGCATGCATAACACGGCATAATACCGGAGCCCTGCTGTGAGAAAATGTTGGCGCTGTTCTGAGTTTGTTCTAATCCGTCAAAATGACGGACGGATTTCAGATTTTTCCCTCATTGTTAAAAAAAATCCATCCTCTGCCCCTTACTTACCTGAGAAACTCCAGTCTGCAGTCTGGACTCTCCAGAAGATCTCTCAGCAGCTCCACTCCTGAATCCTGCAGATCGTTGTTACTCAGGTCCAGATCTCTCAGATGGATGTTGGACTTCAGAGCTGAGATCAGAGCAGAACAGCTGATCTCTGACAACCTGCAGCTCCTCAGTCTGAATAAAGAAAACATGATGTAAGACTCACACTGACTCATGGAGCACAGTGTGAGTCTGTGGAAGCTCAAACACTCTCCCTCACACATTCACCTTCTCTTTGTTATTCTGAATTCAGTGGCGGTTCTAGACCAATTTGACTGGGGGGGCCACTGGGGGGCCAGTTATTTTCTGAGGGGGGCACAATAAATAAATGCAGGACGAAAAAGAGAACTAGACAGTATGAAGTAATTGCGCATAAGAAAACAATGCAATACAGTTATTGGTATTTGTTTCAGTACACTTATTTATTTCAGATAGATCTTATAGTTATTACTGTTAGCTTCAGCTTAAGTTATAGTACAATGTTTGCACTAACACCATATTTATATAAAAATAAAGGCAATGAACAGTTACATCTCTACTTTACAAAAATTATTAAGTAAATATAAATGTGTCTGCACAATCTCACATTACAGCAACAAAATCCTGCAGTTTTTGGCAAACCGAGAACCAGAAAATATACATTTAAAAAAAAACAAAAAAACTTTTAATTGTTAGGGGGGCCACAGGGGGGTCAGAGGTCAGTGTTAGGGGGGCACTGCCCCCCCCTAGAACCACCCCTGATTCTGATCAATATTCAGTCATTATCAACAGTGGAACAAATAACAATAACATTGTATTTGTTCTCAGGGAAATTCAGAAAATCATAAACACAAGCAGATCTGTATGAACTGCAGTCAGTGAACTGACCTGAGAGACTTCAGTCTGCAGTTTGGACTCTTTAGTCCAGAACTCAGCAGCTCCACTCCTGAATCCTGCAGAGCGTTCTCACTCAGGTCCAGATCTCTCAGATGGGAGGGGTCAGACTTCAGAGCTGAGGCCACGACTTCACAGTGAGTCTCTGAGAGTCCACAGCCAGTAAGTCTATAATAACACATACATTACAACATGTGTTAAAAAGAGGAAACATTATATTGACGAAAAAATATTTCACATATGTTCTGATTGACATTTGCTGTTAGTCCATTTTATATTATATATAATAATAAATGATTAGGGATGTAACGATATACCGAATATCGCGGCAAATAAACGTCCCAATACCGTCGTGAGACTGACAAAATGTACCGCAATTAAAAAACTAAAATTAATTAAAAAAATATATATAATTTTTTTTAAACACTTTTTTTTGTTTTAAACCTTTATTTAACCAGGTGGTCCCATTGAGATCATCGATCTCTTTTTCAAGAGAGACCTGTCCAACATGGCAGCAAGTAGGTTACAACATGAATATAAAACAACAGAACACAAAAGGACATGGTATTTACAGGGCTACATGAACACACCTGGAGACATTGACAAGTACCTGTATATTTATATCTCTGTCAATAAGCCTCACCTTCTTGGCAACAACTGTATAGTTTTTGAAGTGGTGGAGAGACAATGCACAGTTTGACCCACTGCTGTCACCCATGGCCAAAGCATATCTCTCCGTCCCACTGAGGTGGCGTTAGACTTTTTCGCTGTCCATCATTTTGACAGACAGGATCGTAAAATGTGCGTCATAATCCCTTATTACCCGTCGGGTCTGAACAGAGAGAGAGAGCACGCTCGTGAACTGTCAACGGGGGGGGCGGTGTTATGCCGTGTGTGCACCTCGTGGGAGCGCACACAGCGTAAAGCAAAACCTCCCAGACATGTGTTGATCTGTACGGCAAAGTACGGTTTGGAAACTATATTATTTCCTTTTGGATGGCAAGCATAACACGGCATAACACCAGAGCCTCGCTGCAGGGAAACGTTGGCGCTGTTCCGAGTTTGTTCTAATCTGTCAAAATGACAGACTGCTTTCAGATTTTTCCGTCATTGTTAAATAAAATATTCGGTTAACGCGACCACTGCAGTCCCGGCAACATCAGTACCAAGCGAGAGAGTTGTTTCCAGAGCAGGGAATATTGTAAATGCCCAAACATCCCAGCTTATAAATACCTGGAAATGTGGACATTCTCATATTCCTAAAAACCTGTCTGATGATGCTGAGTGAGTGACTAGTGAGTTTGAGTTGAGTTACTTGAAAAACTAAAGTGAAACTTGATTTATTTTATTGCAGGGTCTGATCATTATATGTCCTTGTTTATTTGTGAGATGCAGTGGCACAAAGAAAATGCCTACTTTGTTTGGTAGTACTAGTAGGTACAAAAACACTGGTTTTCTTGTTCCAGTCTGTTACTGTCACTTTGTTTTTGACACTTTAAAATTTCAAATGTTAATTACTATTTAGATGTGAATGAAGGATGTTTTGGCTTCTCTGAGCATCTGAAAATGTAACATGTAACATGTAACACAAACACAATTAACAAACCAATAAAGTTTTAACATTTTCAACTGAATACCATCAGATGTTCCCAGTATATCAGCATTAACACATAACTCTGTTATTGGTGGGAAATTATATAGATCTGATTTTAAACTCTAATACATTGTGATAAAAATGTGTCTGTTCAATGATAAAGAAACTACTAGAAAGTAATAAGTGCTTTCTCTGATAACTGTAAGTCCTGCTGTGTGGTGTGATCACATGCTGAGAAACCTCTCAAGTCCTTCATGTGTTTGACATGTCGCCTCCATCACTCAACATGAAGAGAGCAACGGTTCAATTGAACTATTATTATAAATAAATAGAAGAACAGTATTGGGTTTATTTTGCTCTCAGTATTTAAACAGCAGAAATGTTATCGTGTTTATTTGAATAATTAAACTCCTGATCCACATTAATTTATAAAGTGAATCACATCTGGACTTACTTGGCCTTCCTGCAGTTCCTCACAGCTGGAATCAGTCTCCATCGTCCCTCCTCTGATGTGTTGTACTGACTCAGGTCCAACTCATCCAGAACCTCCTCTGACATCTGCAGCATGTAGGCCAGAGCAGAGCAGTGGATCTCAGATAGATTCTCCTCTGATCTGTTCTCTGACTTCAGGAACTCTGTGATCTCCTGATGTACTGAGTGGTCCTTCATCCCTGTCAGACAGTGGAAGATGTTGATGCTCCTGTCGGGAGAGATTTCATCACTGCTCATCTCCTTCAGGTTGTTGATGGCTCTCTGGATGTATTTGTGACCCAGCAGTCTCTGGTTGATTTCTGGTCTGTTGTCTGTGCGACCCAGCAGGCCTCCTAACAGTCTCTGGTTGGACTTCAGAGAGAGGCCGTGGAGAAAGCGGACAAACAGGTCCAGGTGGCCATTTTTACTTCTGAGGGATTTCTCCATGGCTCCCTTTAGGAGAACATCCAGGGATCGGTAATCCTGATCCGCCTGCAGGAAGTCCTTCAGTACCGCTGTGTCTCTGTTGGTGTAACAGTGCAACATGTAGACTGCAGCCAGAAACTCCTGAATGCTCAGGTGAACAAAGCAGTAGACTGTTTTCTGGAAGATCACACTCTCTCTTTTGAAGATCTCTGTACAAACTCCTGAGTGCACCAAGGCCTCGGTGACACCAAGACCACAGCGCTGCAGGTCTTCTTGGTAGAACATGATGTCTCCTTTCTCCAGATGTTCAAACGCCAGCCTCCCCAGCTTCAGAAGAACCTCCCTGTCAGCCTCCGTCAGCTGCTGTGGACTCGTCTCATGTCCCGCTTCACACTTCTGCTTCTTCCTCTTGGTCTGGACCAGCAGGAAGTGTGAGTACATGTCAGTGCGGGTCTGGGGAAGCTCTCCTCTCTGGTCTGTAGTCAACATGTGGTCCAGAACTGCAGCAGTGATCCAGCAGAAGACTGGGATCATACACATGATGTGGAGGCTCCTGGAGCTCTTGATGTGAGAGATGATTCTGCTGGACAGGTCTTCATCACTCGATCTCCTCCTGAAGTACTCCTCCTTCTGGGCGTCAGTGAAGCCTCGTACTTCTGTTACCCTGTCCACACACTCAGGAGGGATCTGATTGGCCGCTGCCGGTCTGGAAGTTATCCAGACGAGAGCCGAGGGAAGCAGCTTCCCCCTGATGAGGTTTGTCAGCAGCACGTTGACTGAGGACTGCTGTGAGACATCAGAAACAACCTCATTGTTTCTGAAGTCCAGAGAAAGTCTGCTTTCATCCAGGCCGTCAAAGATGAGCAGCACTTTGCAGACAGCCAGCTGCTCTGCTGTGACCTTCTGTAAGGTTGGATGGAAAACATGGAGCAGCCTGAGAAGACTGTACTGCTCACCTTTGATCAGGTTCAGCTCCCTGAAGGAGAGCGGGATCACCAGACTGACATCTTGGTTTCCCAAACCCTCGGCCCAGTCCAGAGTGAACTTCTGCACTGAGAAGGTTTTTCCAACTCCAGCGACTCCGTTGGTCAGGACCGCTCTGATGGGAGTCTGTTGGTAAGGTGAGGCTTTAAAGATGTCCTGGCACTTGATTGGAGTGTCATGGAGGGGCTTCTTCTTGGAAGCTGTCTCCAGCTGCCTCACCTCATGTTGGGTATTAACCTCTTCACTCTGGCCTTGTGTGATGTAGAGCTCAGTGAAGATGCTGTTGAGGAGGGTTTCACTTTGATCAGTTCCTTCAGTCACACGTTCACATCTCCTCCTCAGACTGAGCCTATGTTCATCTAAAACCTCCTGCAGACCACGTTCTGCTGAAAGAGAAGGAAACAAATAAGGAAAACTGTCACGACTCTTATGTTATGTCACGTTTTTAGTTTTGTATGTGTTGTTATGGGTGTTTTGCTGTTCTGTTCTCCCTGTGTTTTCCTCCCTGTCGTTAGTTTCCCTGGTGTGTCTAATTGTCTGATTGTGTTCACCTGTTTCCCTTGTGTGTCTCCTGTGCTCATCATCACCAGCCCCGCCCCTGATTGTTTTCACCTGTGTCTTGTTGTCGTATGTTTAAATTCCCCAGTCTCCCAGTGTTCAGTGTCAGTTTGTCTTGCCTCATGCCATAGTCAGGTCTATACTCTCTTTGTGCTATAGAAACGTTTTGTTCCTCACGACGTGAGCGATTTCCTTTTTGTTCTCATTTGTTTGTCATCTCATCCTGAGATTCGATAGTGACCATTTTTTGTTCATCTTGCTTTTTTGGAAAAATAAAGTATCTTACCGATACTTTACCTCTGTCTCCCGGGTCGTGCAATTGGGTCCTATATCCTGAGTGTCTGAGTTCTTAACAAAAACTCTCTGATAATCTAATTAAAAAACAGACTGAGTTTTAATGTTTAATAAAACACCTTAATGTCTCAGCCTGTCCTCCTCCAAAAAACGACCAAATAGGTTGATTGTTCAGCAGCTTATTATGACCTATAGTCACGTTTTAAAGTTGACCACCTCTAGTGGTCGTGTAAGAAACAACAGTTTGCGGCATATGGGCGGATGATTACAAACGCTCCGGAGGGTCGTTATTCACAAATAACCCTCTCTCGAAAATCCTAAATTGTAGAATAGTTTGGCCATTAAAATGCTTTTTGATTAGATTTCTAGCGAGAAGTTTATATTGTACTTTTAGAATCCACGTTCAGTGGATGTGTAGGATCTATAGTTTGATAGATATTACGAAGATGATTTGAGGTCTCGCCAGGAGAACGTGTATATACTACGTATTTCCCCACAGCATCCATGTAAAGTTGGCGTCAACCCTCACAGGGTGAAAACAGTATTTCCGGTATCGACGTTTTCATAATAAAACCGGAAGTATTCCCCTCACTGTCAAATGATTACACAGTGATAGCTGCATTACTCATCCACTAAAAACATCAGTTTATCCTTATTAATTACACAATATTGATTGGTTTAAATTGTGTACAATGCTTTTGTGTTTTTAACCTTTGATTCGGAGAAACACATTTTTTCTGAGTTTAGGATGGCCAAAGACACTACACTACCCATAATCCTCGGCTATCGTTTGGGACTACAACATCCGCTTTGCTTGACAAACCCCGTGATTAGTCCTCAAGCTCAGTGATTGGATGTTGGAGTGGCAGTGCGCCAAGGTTACGCCGAGTGTCAAACAGCTCTTTCAAATGGAACGAAACCACGGCAGACTTTCCAAAACTGGAATTGGAACGGGTCCACCTCACCCCACCCCCCCAGAACTACACATGCTGGCTAATTGTGTTTCACAACAAGTTATATGGCACGTCTCTGCTGGGAATTGTAGTTTTAAAAGACGTTTTCGTATTTCCCATAATTAGACGTTGCCAGTATTAACCTCTTCTACACCGCACCCCCGATACCGGGGGGAAAAACGCGTCATTAGCAGGAAACATCGTCTGAGTGCATCTTAATATTCAATCAACTATGAATGTTTTATATCCATGTAACGGGAAGAAACTCAGCTAACTGAAAAAAAAAAAAATCTTTTTTTTTAAAACCCACAAAGCTAGCGCTGAGCCTATGAATTAGCCACGAGCGAAAAATGCTAACGGGGTGTTGCACAGAAACTCACTCATTATACCCTTATTACTTATCGTAGCTGCACGCCCAACCCATCGATTTGCATCGTGAGATGACACAAAATCAATGGGTAGATACATCATCACTCCATGATAAGAACTCGCGAAGCTATTAATAAGAACAGACATCAAAACATGTGGCGCTAGGTAGCTAAAACTGGCTACATGGTCTACCTTGGTCGTTGTCTGGTCAAAAGTGGTCTTCAATGGCATTAAAACGATAAAAACGCTGCTGAAGTTAATCCATAGGTTAATCCAATGTGTCTGTGTCACTTTGAATGATTTCTGATAATCAATAAGCAATAAACCTGCGTTTCCGTTTCCAGATGTCAGAGCGAGATAGGTTCACTCTGATGCAAACCTGCATGCGCAAAGCCCCCACTTTTTTTTTTTACCATGTGTGTATGGGGAAATTCCCCTTCGATTATATTGGCTCTAACGGTCAGAAAGAGATGTCAATCACCAAAATCGACCAATGGGTTCCAGAGAAACGGTAAAACCCCCATTTCCACCCAAATCACCTCAGAGGTGGAGTTTTTTTTGCTAAATCTCTCTAAAAAGGTCAAATGTCACTTGTTTTGCATCAATCTTGATACAGGGTACTTATTATATGTTGTACTTTGGATTCCTAAAGCTGTTAGTCTACCTTACCATCATCCAAGGGTTGTTTTCACGGACACTATAATTTACAGTTTTTTTACTATGTTCAATCTGAATTTTCTTTAAAATAAATAACATCTATATTGATTCTGACTCTTCTACATCCAACTCACAGGTTTATCATTACTTTGAGAACAAAGATTATTAATGTAACCCTTTTAGAAGATATGGTCATTTGTTCTGGGAATGTCATTTTCGAGCCTGAGACCTGAAAAACAGGCTCAGGGCTTAACAGGTTAAACTGTCTACATCCCTGGAGGTTTAGGTGATGGGAAACATATTGGTGTTATCACATTTAAAACATATAAGTAATACATGGGTGAAAATTGCTTGTGTCCATAATGGGCAGCATTAATATACCCACATGAAAGCTAAGGTCAGAAGAGCTTTATTTAACAGCTGGTAACAAAAACATTTCCCAACTTGGGATCAATAAAGTATCTTATCTTAAAGGTGGGGTAGGTAAGTTTCAGAAACCGGCTCGAGTGCACTAACATTTGAAAGTTCACAGCCGAAAATAATCCGCCCCTTCCTTCAGACTTCCTTACAGAGCACCTCCTCCAACACACATGAACGGCCGGCTAAACGGATTGGATTGCCGCCCTGTCTGTCAGCCTTCCATCTCGTGCACGCACAAATGTATCTCGTGCCCTCATTGGGTGTGCCGTAATTGGGCGTGCATTGTGCGTTCAATTGTGTTGGAGGAGGTGCTCTGTAAGGAAGTCTGAAGGAAGGGGAGGATTCTTTTCTGCTGTGTACTTTCAAATGTTAGTGCACTCGAGCCGGTTTCTGAAACGTACCTACCCCACCTTTAAGATGATCGATGGCTACTGCGCTATTTGCAAAATGTGCCTCTGAACCTTGACAAGTGCTTGTTTCAGGCTTATCAATGAACAACAGGAGGGGTCACAGACCAACACACTCTCACTCCATAAACGTCCAGGAGCGACGCTTGGTCAGGGTCCCCGAGGCGTGCAGTTGTGACGCTCCTCGGCTCCTTCAGCTTCATAAAGGGACGCAAATAGCTTTCAACTGATTGCAATGTATTCCCATCTGCGGTGGGATTTGACGCTCATGGAAGCACCGCATTCGTTTGTGTCGGCTGCCCTTAAAGGCAATGTGAGCGTCCATTCCCATTGGATAACGGAGAATTGTACAACCGGAAGTAAGTATTCCCCTTACTGTCGATTGATTTGACAGTGATATCTGCACTACTCATCGACTAAAAAACACCAGATTATCCTTGTTAATTACACAACATTGATTGGTTTAAATTGTGTGCAATGCCACTGGGAGTTGTAGTTTTAAAAGACGTTTTCGTATTTCCCATAATAAGAAGTTGCCAGTATCAAACTGTGTACATCCCTGGAGGTTTAGGGGGTAGGAAACACTCAAATTTAAAACATATAATTAATAAATGTGTGAAAATTGCTTGTGCCCATAATGGGCAGCATTAATATATATACCCACATGCCAGCTAAGGTCAGAAGAGCTTTATTTAAGAGCTGGTCTTATGTTGAATAATATCTTTAAAAACTACAAACAAATCCCTTTCTATCAGCTGTGCACCTTTATGGTGTAAATACAGCCTATCTACCAATTGGATCAAATATAAAAGTCAGCCGAATTAGTGTTGATACTGCAAGGAGACGTATTGTGTGAAAAGAAATGTAAGATGTTGTTTAATTGCTGATATATTTATGATCCACGTCACGTTTTCAGTGTTGGCGACAGTTCCTCATGTTTGTCTAGAAGTCTTCTCATCAGGGCTCTATAAATAGAGAACTACGGCAGATCTGTAATATGTAATGCAGCCGAACCGTGTATTACAATGCCGTTATGTGATGACTTTCAAAGAGAAAAGCAAGCACACTCGGAATAAAGTATTATTTTTAAAAATGTTTTCGGTCTGTTTCCGGTATCTGTTAATGACGATGTGATGTGAGATGTGAGACTGGAATTGCACAGGGGAAAATAACGTATCTATGCCACAATTTTAGATGCAGATTTTGTTAACTAATACGTTTGCGCTAGTGTTAATTTTGTTGACGACTAAAACTATGACGAAATATGTTCGTCAACGACCTTTTTTTCCATGACGAAAACGAGACGATGACGAGACAGCACAGACGGCAGTAAACAATAACTGTAACGAAATCATCATGCAATATCGTTGACGAAAAGTGACGAGACGAAAATGTAGTTTACTAAATAAAAACTATGCCAAAATCTCTCTTTACTTTCGTTGACGAAAAATGAGGAGACGAAATATTATCAAAGATAACGTTTCATCTCTGATAGTCAGTTTTTCTCCCAGCAGTTCCATTTCCGGTGCTGCGGCTGGGCAGCAGCTGTGTGTCTGCGGTGTGCGCGGCGGTAGATTTGAATTACACCGGGCAGCGGCACAATGTGAACTGTCAGGAAGACTCGGGTCTAACTCATGGTCTAACTAACCTTATTTAACAGAAAATAAAATGGCAACAACAGGGCTTGGGAGCAGTGGTCGCACTCGCGTTAACCGAATACCCCCCGTC